AATCTTACTAATAAATCCTAACAGCACATCTTCTATGACATCCATAGCAGCAAACGCGTTACACGATCTCAACAGTGTTTCTCTTACTCAAATTGATCATTTTACTGCTCCTTCATCTACCACTGAAGTGTTGTCTGCTGCGGCATACATCAACCAACTCATTCCTCTTTTCGAGCAGTATGATGGTTTCATAGTGGCTGGTTTTTTTGATTATCCACTTTTGTTGAAATGTTACGAGAACGTACTGACAAACCAGTGGTTGGAATTATGCAATCTAGTCCGATTCACGCAACACTTCTAAGAAATCGATTCGAAAATGTAACAACAAATAAAGAATGGGAATTATTGTTGAATAGAAGTATTCACAACATGGCATTGGATCACCGATGCGGAGGAATCAAAGCGATTAACATTTCACCCGTTAGTTTAGAACTTGCTGGACAAGATGTTATCAATGTGGCAATGAGTGAAGCAGCCAGTGAATTTGTGAAGAACAACGGATGTGATGTTGTCATATTGGGATGTGCAGGAATGAGCGGATTGAAGAAAAAGATGCAACAGACGTTTCTTACTATGGGATTGAAAGCTTCGATTATTGATCCAGTTATTGCTGAATATGAAGTTCTATCAGGATTGGTAACTGCGCAAAAAACCTAATGAATAAATATCTCGTAGTTTTTAAATTTTTTTATTCGATGTGAAATGTACATATGTGTTAAGATCAAACCTGAAGTGCCATGAAAAGTTTCAATTTCTCACAAAACTCTCTCTATTATCATTCATCGTTGTGCCTTTTCACTATTTTATTAAATATCTACACATGTGATTTCCAGAAGCAAATATTTACTTTTTCCTTTACTTTGCAAAGATATAAAACGTAGCCGCCAACAAAATCAAAACACATTTTGATAAAAGATTGAAGAAAGAAGAGAACAAAACAGTCGTTTATAATGGATGAAAGTGAACTTCTCAATTTCAATTGGTTCTCCGAGGCTGGATATTCTCGTTTAAAAGCTGAAGCTCAAGATATCAAAGTAATACGAGACAAAATGATCGAAGAAGGCATATCATATCAATATTTACCGGACAATGTTCGAGAACTGCTTTTGGGCACATCTTGCAGTGAGGAAAAGTGTCGATATGAAATTCTTCAGAATACAAAATTAAAATTCATCCAGAGAAAACAGTTGCAAGGAAATTCTAAACAGAAGGAACAAGGAGAGAAAAAATAAAGCATATTAGATGTGAAAAGAAGCTACCAAGAGAACGTTGTGCAACGAAACAAAGCGTTGAATAAAACATCAGGTGAGCAAGACGAATACGGAGATAATCTTTGTTCTTTATTAAACGCCGTCAAATTGGACGAACAACAATATTATCGAAAAGTGCTGGGAGACGCGATCGAGAAGACAAAATCGATTTATTCAGTTTATGATATTTCTTTAGCATGTAGAGAAAATACGTTAAATGGTCTGTCAAGTCTATCGAATGAACAAGCAAGAAACTACTGTGAGAAAGCATCATTGACTAGTTTAACTATTCAAGAAAAATTGGATTCACTCGATGATCGAGAAACACTTCGTGGGGTTCGCCCAGCAATTGAAGGTGAATCAAGCTTAAGGTATTCATTAGATCCATGTTGTCAACGATACAAATACATCCGAGTGATCCTTCAAACAGTTTTGACATTGAAATGTTTGACAAACGAAGAGAAAATCGTGTTTAAAGAACATCTAGAACTTATCAATGGATTAATTGATAAATACGAAGCTTGTGACGTTTTTATCCTTGTGCGTGCGTTTTTCAATGGCAATGATATTGATTATGATGACGGTGAAGTGAGAAAATTTATTGAAAAATGCGAGGAAGATTTCATACGACAAGATGCTTTATTCACACGACAGATTCTTGTCGCTGTTACAGCGTTACATTTTAATCGTGAATTGCAATATCCGATCTTAATGTTCTCTATTAAAAGGTATAGAAACCTATCTGGATCCTATAAGGACGAAATTGTTGAAAAAGCAATCGATATTTTAAATCAGTAGGAAGTTCAAGTGTGTTCAATAATTGAACCTGTTGGATCGGAATCCATTGGACATATACCGCAGTTCGAACGACCTGGAAAAAAATCATTGGCACATTGGTGTGATAGAAGAAATTATTTGTGTATATTCGATTGTCCAAAGGTTGATTTTTCTATTTATATTCACAAGTCCGAAATTATTCACATAGTAAAACTCGTTCGCGAGCAATTTAAATCGGATTTCGATGGACAATATGAAGAAGAGGCAAGATTTAATTTGCCTCATCAACCGTTGAGCAGTTCTGTTGTTTATCTATCGAAGAATAAACAAAATGCAAAGGATATTCAAGGACAATTACCTTCGGGACGAGAAATAATTCAAATAGATCCTAAAGACTATTATGTACGAATAGATAATATCAAGGAGAGTTATGGAGATCTGGAAAGAATTCTATTTCAACGATTAGTTAAAGAATCAAGCAAATACACCCTTTGGTTTCGTGAAATCATCAACAAAAGTGGCAAAAACATCACTTCCGACCACGAATTCGTTCTATTCGCTCATGCTAAAGCTGTTTCAGAATGTGCTCGAAATTTATCAACTTGGATGATCAATTCAATGTGTTTAGATGTTATAGAAAAGGATATTAATTTAGATGGGAAAAACAATACAGATGATCAACGACTGTTTTCGCCGTGGAATTTGTTTTTTCAACATCATTCGATGACTGGTGAGAGTTATAAAAATCAAATTGGAGAAGGAAATGAAAACCAAGAGGAAATTGACGATAAAGAAGTGTATATCATTATGAATTGGCTTTGCATTTTCTGGTTGGGAAATGAAAATGTCACGATGGTGAATGATTCAGATGTGTGTTTGTCTTATCTTGAAACTATTCAGCGTACAAAACTAGAAGCAGCTGAAAGATACGCACGTACATGCATCTTAAAAATGCTCTTTCATCGTATGTATTCAATAGACTCATGGGATTGTAATCATTTTTGAAGAAACGTTACTTCTGCGATGTTCTCTTCCAAATGAGACAACACCTTGAAGAATACCTGGACAAATGTTCTTTGATAAACAATCATTGCGATTAATAGAAGATGGTATGTCAAATTTCAATGATTCTCCAGTCGATGAAGAATTGAAAAAACGAAGATTCGAGGGAAGTAAAAGCGCCGATCGAGATGAAGTGAAAAGACAAGCCAGGCAAATATTTCAAAGGTTGATTCAAACTACAAAAGGCGATAATACTCTTCGAACATTTTATAAAGACAAACTTAAACAATTAGATTAGTATAACTCATTCACATTTTAACAAAACAATGATTTTGACAGAAAAAAACGAAGAAAATAAAACGTATTCTATTGAATTATTGTATTCATCATTATACTGTGGTTAAACCAATAGTATTTGGTCGAATGTTTAATTTTGATATTACAAATGCTTTCAACGGATCTGTGAATTGGAATAGAGCAACGAGTACATATGTTACTGATGTTGCAGCAAATATATACGCAATTCGAAAATGATATAATGGTGGTGAAGTAAAAAATGACATAAAAATGAAAATTGCATAGGGAAAACCAATTGTAATGAGAATCAGTAGGAGAATAACTGTACGACGAACCATTTTCAATTCACGTTGAGCACGGAACAAAACATTCGTTGATATAACCCGTCTACTCATTTCTTTAACATAAAGAATTAGTTTCCAATAAATCAACATGGTAAACAACACAGGCATAAAATAAACGAATATTGAAAGAAATATTATTGGAAAGGAAAAGCTTAGAATAACTTGACAGATTTGATTGTCAATGTTATAGATAATATCACCGGTGAAGATAAATGCCATCGGAAATAAAATTGCAAATATCCATGTGCAACAGATAAAGAGAAATTGATTTGACTTGAATTGCCAAAATAGACATGTTGAATAAAGAATGCTAAGATATCGATGAAAAGCGGATGATAAAAATGAATAATTATTTAGAGCAAATGTTACATAAGTTAAATAACCACGAAAAATACATAACGAATCTGGAGATTCGATTTGTTTAATGTCGTTGTGTAATGTTATTATGTTCATCCAAAGTAAATTACTTGAACATAAAAGTATTGCTAAACATGAATTAGCAACTAAAATCATTGAAATTGTGTGATGGGTTTGATCAATAAATATAATCAAGAAAAATGATATTGACAAGAAAATAGATATGATAAGACAAATTATATTGAATATATCCATTGGAATAAACCACGATTGAACAAACATTTTGAATCGATTCTCTTCTCGGGAAAAATGTATTTTTGAAATGAAAAAGATTTTCTATATATGTATCTCAGAGTGTGATGTTGAAGATTTGCTTTAAAATAAATAAGTTCATTAGTCTCTCATTATTTATGAGGAAAAAATGTGAATAACCTACTGTTATATCCTTGACTATTATCCTAATTGTCATTCACTGCATAAAAGATATTTCAGTTCATGAGAAAGTACTTTTAATTTCATTGCTGAGATTACGGAAAGATACAGTAGTACACAAATACTCAGAAAAACTATTTTCTCTTCACTCTTCAATCTGTTTTGTAATATCATCATCACGAATAAACTACAATAGTTCGTACTGAAGTAAAATTCTAGTCACTAATAAATCCCACAGGACTAACTTATAAAAGAGTATTTAATTTAACGTTTCACTGGCCGAAAAATAAGAATAATAGATAAAGATTCATGAGTGGTTTCCGAACATCATATTCTATATTTAGAAAATTTTAAAAGCGATATAATTTGTAGTAAAAAGTACAAAAATATCTGCATCACAACGACTCCTTAAGGAATTCTCTCTCTCTCTTGTAAAAAGAGACACGTATCTTATAATTATATTAATTCTCATCTACAATAATTCGAATTCATGTTAAGAACCTCGTACACGAGCTGTTCCAGCTGTCTCTAAATTCAGCTTTTTCCAACAGATATCTTCAAGCTGCAACGTTTTCATGGAGAAACAGCAGTAAAACTTTTTTCACTTGATTAATACAATATTGCGCGGAACCATCGAGGCCGGTATTCTGATAGAAACACCATTTTTCACTCATAAATCTCCATATTATTTTGATCTCCTAAGACAATTTGAATTGTGACTTATGATCCAAGAGAGAGAGAGAGAGAGAAATGAATTTTGATATTTTGTGGACTATCACCTACTTTCAGTCGAAGAAAAAACAAATCGAGGTTGAGTTGACCTCTGATTCAATGATCTACTAAATTACTACAACAAGATTTTGTAGATGATGATCCCCAAGAATGTTACAATGAATAAAATAATTATGGATTTAGGAGAGATTGAAAAGCATTCTCACAACATGTTAGTATCTACGAAGTTATTTCAAAGGATTTAATAGTGTATCTTTTTTATTTACATTGCACATGTGACTACCTGTACACATTGATAGGCAAAGCAAGAAGAATAATGTCGGATAGATCAAAGAAAAAAAGAGAAAGAATAGAGTATCAAATTAATGTTTCATTAGCAAAGTGTATATAATTTCTTCTCGTCGAAGCACGTAGATAAGTCGCTAGTAGAGGTTCACGATCGATCAGTTTTGATCCATGTAAGGTAAGTGTGGCATTTTAATCTTGCCTTCCGTTTGACGTGTGGATGGATAAGAATGCATATGTGAATTAGAGAAACAAGATGATGCTCACCTTCGCCTTCGATAAAACTAAGAATTTTCAAAACCATTGTAGGTATACAAGAATGGCCAATATGCATCACAATCATGATTCATCCATTTATTTTTATCATCTTAATGAACCATTCGGTGAGTTTAGCAACTTTTATTCAGCACCTATTGAACTTGATGGACATATCTGGCCAACTGTTGAACATTATTTTCAAGCACAAAAGTTCTCGCACAATAAACATCGTTTCAAACATATTGTACAATTGTCCACACCGCGAGACGCTTTTGACTATGCACAAATGCATCGTGATGAAATACGATCAGATTGGATGGATATCAGAGATGCCGTAATGTTTAAAGCATGTATGGCTAAATTTCAACAGCATCCACATCTTAAACACATGTTATTAACAACTGGACACCGTACTCTGGTTGAGCATACTAATAAAGATTCTTATTGGGGTGATGGTGGAGATGGAACAGGTGAAAATCGATTGGGATTTACCCTAATGAAAGTTCGAAATGTGATCAAACATCACCACTGAGGAACAACGATAACCTGACTATGGCACTGCTTTGTGCCTCTATATTTTTTTCGATTGATTGCATCAATAGATTTGAAAAATGACACATGAAAGAAGGTCGAAATCAATTTCGTCTTGTTCCTCGATTTTCAAAAGATCATATCTATCTCTATGTAGAAAGCTATTTTTTAGGACGACTCTTGCAAAAGTATAAATATAGAAAACATGACTGGGTTGTTAGCGATGCGGAAGTATATTCTAGATATTTAATATCGCACCCGTTGCTTGTTTAATAAAATTTTTTGCATCTACACAATGACTTGGTATTAAAGTGTGCTTCATCTGTGATCTGTTTTCGTTAAAATCTACTGCACGTGTCATAGAATATTTTCAGCTTTTTTCACGTAAGTATTGAGGCATCGTCCAGAGAGATTTCATGAGAAATTCAAAGATTAGTAAAATATATTAGTCAACATGTTTGGAATCCATAGGTCCACAAGAATTTAGTCATTCTGATGTAACTTTTCTTTACTTGGATCTTTCTTCAACTACTCACATATCTATATTCCTTTAGCTCGTTTGACGCCCTTAGTCATGGGGAAAAAGCAGTTTCTAGGAACCACCAGGCATCATCAGAAACGTTTGAGATCCATGTAAGTATGTGTATATGTAAGAAAATTAAAGATTAAATACTTTTTTCATATAGCAAAATTTTAATTTTACGATAAAACTGTAAATATCGCTTGTAGCTTGAAAATAACTTGTGTACGAGCAAATTTGGGATATATCATACGCAGATATGCTCTAACTAACCATTATACTCCGAGCCAAAAAACTTTTTGACACTACAGATGATTCCATCATGAGACGCTGAAGTCGTTATTGTAACAAAACACCACATTGATTTCATTGTTTTATTTCTCCTTTCGACTGTATCGTTCGATGTATTTAAATATTTCGACAGACATTTTGGCAAAGCTACAAAATCATACGGATGCCTCTTGAGGGTGGAATATGATTCGTTGGAGGACAAACATGTTTTCCACTTGATACAACAGTACTTGGCATGACAAGTCCATCCATAAGAATTGAAAGAATTACTTCAATTGATGTTCCATGATAAGCAATACGTGGATATTTACTTGGATTTTGTTTACGAATTTGAAGAGAACGACAATAAAGTGGATAATCACGAATAATAAATGGTTCCCCAATTGTTGATTGAAGAAATAAACATTTCCTTCATTTCGATATTCAATATTGGCCATTTCATTGAATATAGTTTTACTTTCGTCAGCATAATTTGTTCGAAAAAGACATAAACATTCAGGTAATTGAAATGTATCGAATTTTGGTGAATTGACAAATTCAATTTCAAGTGAAATATCACTTTCAATACAATTTACAGGAAAAGTAAAGATAAGATTTGAACATGTAAATCTTTGTGATTCATTTAATTTTCCAATAACACAAATTATCGATCGTTGACACAATAAACGAAATTTTCCATCGAATTCTCGAGAACTTAAATAAGAAATAGGTTCAGTCATTGTATGTCCACTATTCATATATCTCGGTGATTCGTGAATTGTAATTCAAAGTGGAAATTCTACAAATTTTGTTTTTCCATATCTTGTTCGACAAAATGCTGATAAAAGTGTTGTATCTTCTTTATCAAAACGTATTGGACGACGAGCAATGGAATAACTATTGAATTTCTCTCTTAATGATTGTGACATTGCTTTTCGAAGATCATCACATGTTGCATCGGTTGTTAATTGAAGTTTAGCTAATGGTTCATTTCCATAACTAACGAGGGAACATATTTAGGTGTTCAAGCAGTTTAGATCCCATCTTTTGGTAGTAAGTAGACCCCAATGAGGTATGAAAAACCTTAAAAGGATTTGTGCCCTCGTGTCGTTGTTGCCGAGTTATCATCGTTTTACTTGCTTTTTGGCTTGTTGACAGGTGTTTCGATAAAATGCCAACGACACAATTTAAATCTGAAATTTTGTTTATNAGATCCCATCTTTTGGTAGTAAGTAGATTGTTTTTTAACCAATCAAGTTGATTTGCAGCTGTTTGAACAAACGGATCCTTTCGAAGACGAAGAAAAGTATTTCTAACTTCATCATTCATTGATTCTTTTTCTGGAAGATTATTAAATGAATTGACTTTTGTATAATTTGCTCCACTTTCCAATAAACATTCCAAAATTTCCTGATGTCGATAGAAAGAACTGACATGAAGAGCAGCGCAATAAAGTGATGTGTGACCTGCATTTATCTTTTAATCGACTTTTCAATTGTGACGCGAGAACAGGTTCAACACCAAGTAAATCATATGGATTTGCTGTTCTCTGAACTTGATCGACAATTTATCTCTCATAGAAATTTTTATATTAAAAATCTCTTTCACGTTGGCAAACAACAAGTTGCACTGGATTTTCCTCTTTTTCTTCCTAGCAGAGCTCGAAAAAGCTCTTCTAGACTTTTTCTATCGTAATAAAAAAATTCTTGAGATTTATTTAGACGATGAATACTCTCCAAATGTCAATATTCTCAAAGTTTCTCGAACGATGAAATTGTGATTATAGAACGTAATTTCTTCGTTTCGTATGACTAGTTGATTGAAAGTATCATGATGTATCATAATGTCGTTGGAAGTTTTTCCTTCGAATATACAAAATGATTTTTACCTCTCACATTCACCTTTGATCATAATCAAAATCATGACAAAAATATAAATACTAACAAGTTTTGTGAGATTCTGTATAAGAATGCTATCATGCTGAACGTTTGCGTTCGTTATTTGCACGACTCTCGTCATTCATTGTAATGATGCTTCAATTGTCTATTCGATCCATCTTCAACTATTCAATGCGAATGAACTCGAGATCAAGTCACAAATTCAGTTGCTAATCCAGGAAATATCACTAGTGAAGTTGGAATATGTATTATAACTAACACTACTGTTCAATATCAACTAGTTGGAAATTCATATTGGATTGTTAGTCTGGAATTTTATGATGGTAAACTGAACAACAAATTTGAAATTGCGCTTTCAAATAAGACTTTAGTTTTCTCGCTTCATTATACTTTTTGCGATTTCTTATAATTGCATCCTAAATATTCATATTTTTAATAAAAAAATTTAACCAAAATATCGATGTTTACATTTTTCTCCTCTAATAAAAATATTTCATCAAGAAGAAACACTCTTGAAATAATTCTTTTAAAATTGAGCAAAGAATGTTTCTACGCAATATGAAAGTTAAGATAAATTTACCTATAGTTTCCAGATGTGCTCAATACGACAAAAGATTTTATAGAACTCTAAGTCGCACTTGTTGCAAACTTCATGTGTTTTTCTCTCATAGATTTCTACAAATGATATAGGTGAAAAATTTTATTCAAGTTAAAAACTAATCGATCGATATAAAGTCACGAATCATCGAGAAGTTTAATATTTTATGTCAAATTTCGTCTGTTCTAGACGATAAGTATTGCTCATATTCGTTCTTCTATGTTAATTTCGTTTGAATATGATTTTTGATTCCAAGTAAACATTAAAAATAAAAATCTATTTATGAAAAAAGGAAATTATTGAGAATGTGTCAACAAAACATAATATTAAAATGATTCACAGTATGTGATAAAGAAGAAAATCATGAGAAAATAACGAGGTGTTAATGTGTATTTAAACGAACAAGATTTTCAATTAACGAAAGAATTAAAACAAACAATTTCCAATTGAAAAATGTTCGTACGATCATTGTCGTTCTATGTTTTGGCTTTAGTCGTTTGTTCGACTATTGTGTTTCATTGTGAAGGTGCTCCGATTATCAATTCGATCAATCTTCAACAATATTCAACAATTCAACTCGGATGGACTCGTGATCAAATAACAAAACTCATTGGTGATGAAGGAAAAACGATTTCACAAAGTGGTTTGGGAAATATATATATAACAACTGTTCAATATACTGGAACATCATTATCAGTTGTGATATTTATTTTTCAAGGTTCAATTCTTTATGGTAAATCTCAAACTGGATTGGATAATGGAAATTATCTGATGAATGAACAACAATATAATTCAATTCAAATTGGATGGACACGAGATCAAGTGACAAAATTAGTCAATAGTTCAGGAGATAATGCTTCAGAAGCGGGAACAGGAAATTTAACTGCTGTTATTGTTAAATATAAAGGAGCTGGAACTAAGTATGGCGTTATCACTCTGGGATTCTATGCGGGAAAAATTGTTTCGAAAGTTGAAATTGGATTTGCATCAACTGTTAATAATAAAATCAATCTTCAACAATATTCAACAATTCAAATTGGATGGACTCAACAACAAGTTGTACAACTGCTTGGTGGTTCAGGAACAATTATGTCTGAATCAGGACTGGCAGGAACAGCTTATCAAACTTCAACAATCCAATATACGGGATCACAATCAGTTTTTTCATTAGCAATATTTACTTTTCAAGGAGGAAAACTTTTGAGTAAAGCTCAAGTTGGATTAGACACGGGATTTTACACAATGACTCAATCACAATTTAGTTCAATTGAAATTGGATGGACCCGAGATCAAGTGACAAATTTTGTTGGAAGTCAAGGAAGTATAACTTCAGAAGCTGGAAGTGGCACCACAAAGGCTATTCTCGTTCGATATACTGCAGCTGGTTCAGTTTATGGCAATGCTGATTTGACTTTTATTGATGGAAAATTATTTCAAAAAATTGGAATTGGTTATTTTGTAATTTCGAACACAATCAACCTTCAACAATACACAAGAATTCAAATTGGATGGACTCAACAACAAGTTACACAACTTCTTGGTGATTCTGGCACTCTTCTTTCACAATCGGGAACACAAAATTCACCATATCAAATGACTATGGTTCAATATAAAGGTTCACAATCATCGTTTTCATTAGCAATATTTACTTTTCAAGGAGGAAAACTCTTTAGTAAAGCTCAAAGTGGATTAGATACGACAGATTATCAAATAACTCCACAACAATACAATCAACTTCAAATTGGATGGACTCGAGATCAAGTGACAAGTTTAGTTGGAAGTCAAGGCAATGCGATTTCAGAAGCGGGAACAGGAACTTTAAGTGCGACTATTGTTCAGTACAAAGTGTATGGAACTTTATTTGGAACTGTTAGTATTGGATTCTTTGGAGGAAAACTTAACAGTAAAACTGGTGTTGGATTCAAATAAAAACTTTACTTAACTAATTGACTTTCATTTCATATATTTTTAATCAAGAAAACATTCATTTTCTTTTCCTCTTTTAATAAAAGTATTCTCTTCTCTTTCATCTTTATATATTCAATAGTTAGTTGTTAACGTACATTCGTAGATGATTTTCATTCGAAATTGCCAAAAACTCACGAATCGACGATGAATCAATAAAATCTATTCTTTGTTCTTTTCTTCTGTCCAATCGAAAGATTGACTTAACCTGTACTATTTCGAGAGTTTCCTTTTAAATTTACATAGATAAACATTTCCGATTGAAATTACAATTGTACGAAAGGAAATTATGAAATCATCAAAATCAAGTCTCGTCTCATTTACATCTTTTCGAATTGAAAACACTCGCACAAAAATTGTCATTTCGACGACTTTGACTTCCAATTGTGATGATACTGTCATTACTTATCCACTCATTTTTCAGGGTGGCTAATCTGGTTTGTGTTGGAGGAAAACGTAACAGTGAAAGTGCTGTTTAGCTTGAATAAAAGTTTCATTTAATTATTGACTCGTGTTTCTTTTTTTTTCTTTATTTAATCCAGAATTTTTGTCTTTAGTGAAAAATACCTGCACAAATATTAGATGTATAAACGTGCATAGACAACACAGGTCGATACATCGAAATTTGTTCTACAATGGTGTCGCAAATGAATGATCAACCATTTCATGGTTTCTCTAAGGCACAATTGAGAGCACACTCTAATAAACATGTGAATAAGTTTTTGCGTTCTTTTTTTCTAATACAGTCAAACACCGATTTTGTTTTGGTTTTGCTTGTTCTTTCATAGTTTACGATTGAATACATAGTCAACCGAATAGATAGACACACTCGAAAACACACAGCCTAAGTCACTCATATCTTCAACGTGTGACGCAAATGGATGATAAACAATCAGCAATAATTGATAAAGATTCGAATATACAAAAACCAGCATTACCACCGAGAAGAAGACGTGTAGATGATTATTGCCTTTTGTGGGTGGATATTGGGATCGATGAATCAAATAAAGATCATCAATCTGTATTAGAACAACTGCATAGCTTCATCAATAACATTGAAATTTGCACCAATGAACAGAAATGCATGGAATTTATCAATGAAAATGATGACAGGAAAATTTTTCTCATTATTTCTGAATGTTTAGCGCAACATTTATTATCTGAAATTCACGGGAAATCACAGCTTATGGGGATTTATCTTCTTTCGCATAATCGATCCAATGATGAAGAATTGATGAAGAAATGGAACAAAATTCAAGGATTATACACATCAACAACATCTATTTGCAACATGTTACAACCTGTTGTTAAACAATATGATCACAACTCAGTTAATATGAGTTATATTCCCGAAAATGAAAATCTGAACCAATTGGAAGCGAACTTTATGTATACTCAACTTTTCAAGGAAATTTTACTTGAGATCGAATATGATGAATATTCTATCAAGCGTTTGGCAACTTATTGGCGAGAATTATTCGCTGACAGCAAGGTGAAATTGAACCTTATCGATGAATTTGATCGTCTTTATTGTTCTGAAAAAGCGATTGAATGGTATACACGGGATTGTTTCATTTATCGAATGCTCAATCAATCGCTTCGTAAATTCGATAGTGAGAATATGATCAATATGAGTTTCTTTCTTCGTGATATTCATATGCAAATACAAGAATTACATCGAAAGCAAGTTAATAGTTACAATGGACAACGATTTTTCGTTTATCGTGGACAAGGATTTTCGAAAGTGGATTTTGAAAAACTTTTGAAAACCAAAGGAGGACTCATTTCATTCAATAGTTTCTTGTCAACTAGTCGAGATCCAGAAGTAGCACGTCCTTTTGCCAATGGCGCTATCGTAGGTACAGACACTGTTGGCGTTTTCTTTCGAATGTCTATCGATCCTACGATCGTATCAACTCCATTTGCTTCCATTCAAGAAGTTAGCGGTTTCCCAGAAGAAGAAATTCTTTTCTCTATGCACGCTGTGTTTCGCGTACAAGAAATAAAAGAATCAAATCACGAAAATCCGTTGTATGAAGTCGAACTTGAACTCACAAGTGACGATAACGATGAACAGCTTCATACACTTACTCAATATATGCGGAACAGGACACGAGCTCCAACTGGATGGAGAAGATTGGCTACGTTTTTGATCGAAATAGACCAATTGGAAGAAGCTGGAAAAATGTATGCACTACTACTTGTACTAAGATCTAATGACAGTGAGAAAGCATTTTATTGTAACCAGCTTGGTACCATTAAAGACAAACAAGGTGATTATGAGGCAGCACTGTGGTGTTACGAAGAAGCACTTACAACAACAGAAAAAATTCTTCCTTTAAATTACGAATTTTTGGCTACTTGTTATAACAACATTGGTGCAGTCTATGAAAATATGAAAGATTATTCACAAGCACTTTCACTTTACACGAAATCAAATGAGATTCTACAAAGAATTCTTCCAGAAAATCATCGGAATATGGCTGCCTCTTATAACAACATTGGCAATGCTCATCACCACATGGGAGAGTACTCGAAAGCATGTTTATTCCTTGACAAAGCTCTTGAGATTTTACAAAAATCTCTTCCATCAAATCATCCTTTAATAGGTACAGCTTTTACTAATAGCTCGTACATATACTATGTAATGGAAGATTATTCCAAAGCTCTTTCTTATCTCGAACAAGCTCGAGATATTTGTACTCGTTCATTACCTCCTGGTCACATTCGATTTCGAACTATTGAGCGAAGACTTGAAGCGATCAAACAGAAATTGGAAAATCAAATTTGATTTTGATCTGATTTGAAAGATTAAAACTGAGGACAATAACACTTCCGTGACTATTATATAGAAAATACCGAAGAAGATCATGCACATTTTGAACATTAAAACGGATCGATCATCTAATAGTCTTCAATAATATAACTAATCATTTTTTCGTAATTTACGTAAGATTACTTCATTAACGATTGATCTTGTAGCAAATTAGTTGTGTATTTTCTTCCTTTCTCTATTCAATCTAATGCAAAGGTAATAAAAGGAGAAAAGGTATACGAATACACTCGTCGTGATAATTCTCGTACCGATACGTTCGCACGTTACGTTCTTTTTTTNTCGTATGACTAGTTGATTGAAAGTATCATGATGTATCATAATGTCGTTGGAAGTTTTTTTTTTTCGAATATACAAAATGATTTTTACCTATCACATTCACCTTTGATCATAATCAAAATCATGACAAAAATATAAATAGTAACTAGTTTTGTGAGATTCTGTATAAGAATGCTATCATGCTGAACATTTGTGCTCGTTATTTTCACGACTCTCGTCATTCATTGTAATGATACTTCAATTGTCTATTCGATCCATCTTCAACTTTTCAACGCGAATGGACTCGAGATCAAGTCACAAATTCAGTTGTTAATCCAGGAAATATTACTAGTGAAGTTGGAATATGTATTATAACTAACGTTACTGTTCAATATTAACTAGTTGGAAATTCATATTGGATTGTTAGTCTGGAATTTTATGATGGTAAACTGAACAACAAATTTGAAATTGCACTTTCAAATAAGACTTTAGTTTTCTCGCTTCATTATACTTTTTGCGATTTCTTATAATTGAATCCTAAATATTCATATTTTTAATAAAAAAATTTAACCAAAATATCGATGTTTACATTTTTCTCCTCTAATAAAAAGATTTCATCAAGTAGAAAACACTCTTGAAATAATTCTTTTAAAATTGAGAAAAGAATGTTTCTACGCAATATGAGAGTTAAGATAAATTTACCTATAGTTTCCAGATACTCAATACGCTAAAAGATTTTATAGAACTCGAAGTCGCATTTGTTGCAAATTTCATGTGTTTTTCTCTCATAGATTTCTACAAATAATTTAGGTGAAAAATTTTATTCATCATACAAACTAATCGATCGATATAAAGTCATGAATCACCGAGAAGTTTAATATTTTATGTCAAATTTCGTCTTTTCTGGACGATAAGTATTGCTCATATTCGTTCTTCTATGTTAATTTCGTTTGAATATGATTTTTCATTCCAAGTAAACATTAAAAATAAAAATCTATTTATGAAAAAAGGAAATTATTGAGAATGTGTCAACGAAATATAATATTAAAATGATTCACAGTATGTGATAAATAAGAAAGTCATGAGAAAATAACAAAGTGTTAATGTGTATTTAAACGAAAAAGATTTTCATTTAATGAAAGAATCAAAACAAACAATTTTCAATTGAAAAATGTTTGTACGAACATTGTCGTTCTATATTTTGGCTTTAGTCGTTTGTTCGACTGTTGTGTTTCATTGTGAAGGTGCTCCGATTATCAATTCGATCAATTTTCAACAATATTCATCAATTCAACTCGGATGGACTCGTGATCAAATAACAAAACTCATTGGTAATGAAGGAAAGACAATTTCACAAGGTGGTTTAGGAAATCTAAATGTAACAACTGTTCAATATACTGGAACATCATTATCAGTTGTGATATTTATTTTTCAAGGTTCAATTCTTTATGGTAAATCTCAAATTGGATTAGATAATGGAAATTATCTTATGAATGAACAACAATATAATTCAATTCAAATTGGATGGACACGAGATCAAGTAACAAAATTAGTCAATAGTTCAGGAGATAATGCTTCAGAAGCTGGAACAGGAAATTTAACTGCTGTTATTGTTAAATATAAAGGAGCTGGAACTAAGTATGGTGTTATCACTCTGGGATTCTATGCGGGAAAAATTGTTTCGAAATTTGAAATTGGATTTGCATCAAATGTTAATAATAAAATCAATCTTCAACAATATTCAACAATTCAAATTGGATGGAGTCAACAACAAGTTGTACAACTGCTTGGTGGTTCAGGGACAATTATGTCTGAATCAGGACTGGCAGGATCAACTTATCAAACTTTAACAATCCAATATACGGGAACACAATCAGATTTTTCATTAGCACTATTTAGTTTTCAAGGAGGAAAACTTTTAAGTAAAGCTCAAGTTGGATTAGACACGGGATTTTACACAATGACTCAATCACAATTTAATTCAATTGAAATTGGATGGACTCGAGATCAAGTGACAAATTTTGTTGGAAGTCAAGGAAGTATAAGTTCAGAAGCTGGAACTGGTCTTACAAATGTTATTCTTGTTCGATATACTGCAGCTGGTTCAATTTATGGCAATGCTGATTTGACTTTTATTGATGGAAAATTATTTCAAAAAATTGGAATTGGTTATTTTGTAATTTCAAAGACAATCAATCTTCAACAATATTCAACAATTCAAATTGGATGGACTCAACAACAAGTTACACAACTTATTGGTGATTCTGGTTCTCTTCTTTCACAATCGGGAACACAAGGTTCACCATATCAAATGACTATGGTTCAATATAAAGGATCACAATCATCGTTTTCATTAGCAATGTTTACTTTTCAAGGAGGAAAACTTTTTAGTAAAGCTCAAAGTGGATTAGATATGACAGTTTATCAAATAACTCAACAACAATACAATCAACTTCAAATTGGATGGACTCGAGATCAAGTGACAAATTTAGTTGGAAGTCAAGGTGATGCGATTTCAGAAGCGGGAATAGGAACTTTAAGTGCGACTATTGTTCAGTACAAAGTGTATGGAACTTTATTTGGAATTGTTAATGTTGGATTCTTTGGAGGAAAACTTAACAGTAAAACTGGTGTTGGATTCAAATAAAAACTTTACTTAACTAATTGACCCTCATTTCATTTAATCTGGAATTTTTTTATATTTTTAATCAAGAAAACATTCATTTTCTTTTCCTCTTTTTGCTCTTTTAATAAAAGTATTCTCTTCTCTTTCATCTTTATATATTCAATAGTTAGTTGTTAACGTACATTCGTAGATGATTTTCATAAGAAATTGTCAAAAAATCACGAATCGACGATGAATCAATAAAATCTAATCTTTGTTCTTTTCTTCTGTTCAATTGAAAGATTGACTTAACCTATAATTTTTCCAGAATTTCCTTTTTAAATTTATATAGATAAATATTACCGATTGAAATTACAATTGTACGAAAGGAAATAATGAAATCATCAAAATCAAGTCTCTTCTCATTCACATCTTTTCGAATTGAAAATGTTCGCACAAACATTGTCATTCTACGCTTTAGCTTTTGTCATTTCGACAACTTTGACTTCCAATTGTGATGATACTGTCATTACTTATCCACTCATTTTTCAACAATTCGAATCGGATCAACTTGTGATCAAATTACACAACTCCTTATGGCAATTCTGCAAAACTTCTCTCAATAATTCTTATCGGAAACAAATATACAACGACAATTCAATACCTAGGATCACCATCATATTTAGCAGCTGTTGTATTTATCTTTCAAAGCTCAAAAATTGATCAGGCACTAAATCAAGTGATAAGTTTAGTTTGAAGTCACAGGAAATGTAACTGAAATTTTACTTGAAGTTGCTGATCTGGTTTGTATTGGATGAAAACTTAATAGTGAAAGTGCTGTTTAACTTGAATAAAAATTTCATTTAATTATTGGCTCGTGTTTCTTTTTTTTCTTTATTTAATCCAGAATTTTTGTCTTTAGTGAAAAATACCTACACAAATATTAGATGTATAAACGTGAATAGACAACGCAGGTCGATACATCGAAATTTGTTCTCCAATGGTGTCGCAAATGAATGATCAACCATTTCATGGTTTCTCTAACGCACATTTGAGAGCACACTCTAATAAACATGTAAATAAGTTTTTGCGTTCTTTTCTTCTAATACAGTCAAACATCGATTTTGTTTTGGTTTTGCTTGTTTTTTTTCATAATTTCCTACCAAAATGGATGATAAACAATCAGCAATAATTGATAAAGATTCGAATGTACAAAAAGCAGCATTATCATCGAGAAGAAGACGTGTAGATGATTATTACCTATTGTGGATGGATACTATGATCGACGAATCAAATAAAGATCATCAATCTGTATTAGAACAACTGCATAGCTTCATCAATGACATTGAAATTTGCACCAATGAACAGAAATGCATGGAATTTATCAATGAAAATGATGACAGGAAAATTTTTCTCATTATTTCTGAATGTTTAGCGCAACATTTATTATCTGAAATTCATGAGAAATCACAGGTTATAGGGATTTATCTTCTTTCACATAATAGATCCAATGATGAAGAATTGATGAAGAAATGGAACAAAATTCAAAGATTATACACATCAACAACATCTATTTGCAAGATGTTACAACCTGTTGTTAAACAATATGATCACAACTCAGTTAATATGAGTTATATTCCCGAAAATGAAAATCTGAACCAATTGGAAGCGAACTTTATGTATACTCAACTTTTCAAGGAAATTTTACTTGAGATCGAATATGATGAACATTCTATCAAGTTTTTAACAACTTATTGGCGAAAATTATTCGCTGACAACAAGGTGAAATTGAAGCTTATCGATGAATTTGATCGCGATTATTGTTCTGAAAAAGCGATTGAATGGTATACGCGGGATTGTTTCATTTATCGAATGCTCAATCAATCGCTTCGTGAATTCGATAGTGAGAATCTGATGAATATGAGTTTCTTTCTTCGTGATATTCATATGCAAATACAAGAATTACATCGAAAGCAAGTTAATGGTTACAATGGAAAACCATTTCTGGTTTATCGTGGACAAAGACTCTCCAAAGTGGATTTTGAAAAACTTTTGAAAACTAAAGGAGGACTCATTTCATTCAATAGTTTCTTGTCAACTAGTCGAGATCCAGAAGTATCAAGTCGTTTTGCCAATGGTGCTATCGTGAATACGGACACTGTTGGTGTTTTATTTCAAATACCTATCGATCCTACGATCGTATCAACTCCATTTGCTTCCATTCGAGAAGTTAGCTTTTTCTTAGAAGAAGAAATTCTTTTCTCTATGCACGCTGTGTTTCGCGTACAAGAAATAAAAGAACCCACGCACGAAAATCCGTGGTATGAAGTCGAACTTAAACTCACAAATGAAGATAACGATAAACAACTTCATACACTTACTCAATATATGCGGAACAGGACACGAGCTCCAACTGGATGGAGAAGATTGGCTACGTTGTTGCTCGAAATAGACCAACTGGAAGCAGCTGAAGCAATATATGGTGTACTACTTAATGGCACATCTAATGATCGTAACATTGCATTTTATTGTATTCAGCTTGGTGCCATTAAAGACAGACAAGGTGATTATGAGGCAGCGCTGTGGTGTTACGAGAAAGCACTTGCAACAACAGAAAAAATTCTTCCTTTAAATTACGAATATTTGGCTGCTTGTTATAACAACATTGGCTCAGTCTATAATAATATGAAAGATTATTCACGAGCACTTTCACTTTACACGAAATCAAATGAGATTCTACAAAGAATTCTTCCGGAAAATCATCCGAATATGTCTGCCTCCTATAACAACATTGCCAATGTTTATCGAATCATGGAAGAATACTCAAAAGCGGGTTTATTCTTTGAAAAAGGTCTTGAAATTTTACGAAAATCTCTTCCGTCCAATCATCCTTTAATAGCTCGATCCCTTTCAAACAACTCGGCTATATACTACATAATGGAAGATTATTCCAAAGCCCTTTCTTATCTCGAACAAGCTCGAGATATTTGCATTCGTTCATTACCTCCCGGTCACGTTGAATTTCAAAATATTGAAGGAGGACTCAAAGCGATAAAACAGAAATTGAACAACAAAATTTGATTGTGATCTGATTTGAAAGATTAAAACTGAGGACAATAACACTTCTGTGACTATTATATAGAAAATACCGAAGAAGATCATGCACATTTGGAACATTAAAACGGATCGATCATCTAATAGTCTTCAATAATATAACTAATTATTTTTTTCGTAATTTACGTAAGATTACTTCATTAACGATTGATCTTGTAGCAAATTAGTTGGGTATTTTCTTCCTTTCTCTATTAAATCTGATGCAAAGTCAATAAAAAAAAGAAAAAGTATACAAATACACTCGTTATGGTACTTGTCGTACCGATACGTTCTTGTTTTGTCTATAAAAAGAAACGTGCATTAATTGATGTTTATTAATCCATTACTTTCGTATTTGAAATGTCAACAGAAAAACAACATGTGATTTTAGTTACAGGTGCCAATAAAGGAATTGGTTTTGAAGTTATGAAAAAACTTCTCAAATCATTTTCAAAAGAGAATAAAGATCTTATTCTTCTTGGTAGTCGAGATTTAAAACGTGGTGAAGATGCGTTTCATTCANACTGGAAGCAGCTGGAAACATGTATACACTACTACTTGCCCTAACATCTAAGGACAGTGAGAAGGCATTTTATTGTAACCAGCTTGGTGCCATTAAAGACAAACACGGTGATTATGAGGCAGCGCTGTGGTGTTACAAAGAAGCACTTACAACAACAGAAAAAATTCTTCCTTTAAATTATGAATATTTGGCTACTTGTTATAACAACATTGGTGCAGTCTATGATAATATGAAAGATTATTCACAAGCACTTTCATTTTACACGAAATCAAATGAGATTCTACAAAGAATTCTTCCGGAAAATCATCGGAATATGGCTACCTCCTATAACAACATTGGCAATACTCATCAACACATGGGAGAGTACTCGAAAGCATGTTTATTCCTTGACAAAGCTCTTGAAATTTTACAAAAATCTCTTCCATCAAATCATCCTTTAATAGCTACAGCTTTTACCAATAGCTCGTACATATACTATGCAATGGAAGATTATTCCAAAGCTCTTTCTTATCTCGAACAAGCTCGAGATATTTGTACTCGTTCATTACCTCCTGGTCACATTCAATTTCGAACTATGGAGCGAAGACTTGAAGCGATAAAACAGAAATTGGAAAACCAAATTTGATTGTGATCTGATTTGAAAGACTAAAACTGAGGACAATAACACTTCAAAATACCGAAGAAGAGCATGCACATTTTGAACATTATAGCGGATCGATCATCTGATAGTCTTCAATAATATAACTATTCATTTTTTTGTGATTTGCGTAAGATTACTTCAGCAAATTAGTTGTGTATTTTCTTCCTTTCTCTATTAAATCTGATGCAAAGTCAATAAAAGGAGAAAAGGTATACGAATACACTCGTCGTGATAATTCTCGTACCGATACGTTCGCACGTTACGTTCTTTTTTTCGTCTATAAAAAGAAACGTGCATTAATGGATGTTTATTAATCCATTACTTTCGTATTTGAAATGTCAACAGAAAAACAACATGTGATTTTAGTTACAGGTGCCAATAAAGGAATTGGTTTTGAAGTTATGAAAAAACTTCTCAAATCATTTTCAAAAGAGAATAAAGATCTTATTCTTCTTGGTAGTCGAGATTTAAAACGTGGTGAAGATGCGTTTCATTCATTAAGTTCTCCATCTAATGTACATGTTTTACAATTGGATACATCATCAAGTGAAAGTATTGATCGAGCAACTCAAAAGATCAAAGAAAACTAACATGATCAGCTCGATGTCATTATTAATAATGTGGGAATTCTTCTTCGAGATCAAACAATTCAACCTGCTCGAGAAACATTTGCTACGAATTATTATGGAGTGTAAATACTTAATGAGCATTTGCTACGGCTCTTACATGAAAATGGTCGAATAATTAATGTGGTCAGTCGAGTAGGTACAGTAGCTGTACCTGATTGTTCGAACAATCTTTAAGAAAAACATTCATCACCAATATTAACTATCGAACAATTCATTTCTGCTGTTGATCCCGATACTCTAATGACAATTGGATATACGAGTAGGATATCCTTGATGCCTTATAGTATTTCTAAAGCAGCGACAATGGTCGAATGAAAAGAAAATATTTGTGTATTCTGTATGTCGAGGTTTTTCGCAATACTGATCTAAGTGCACATGCTGCAGATAGTCAACGAGCAGAAAATGGACGATTCTATCTTGATTGTGTTCAATTTCCACAAATTAATCAAGATGTAGATGCAATTCGCCGAGCATATGAACGAATTTTCAAAAGTTAATCCAGCGAAATAATTTGCTTTTCTTCTGAAAAAGAATAACAAATGCGATCGAATTTACAAATCTTTATTAAATTAAACAAAGTTTGTTCGGTTTTAAAGAACATGATGAAATGAGACGGACTTAAACTAACGAGGAGACATGTTTAGGTGATAGATAGACCTCACTGAGGTATGAAAAACCTCAAGAGGAGTCGTGCCCTTGCGCCTTTGTATACGTAAGAAATCTTCGGGCAGGATTCGACATTTTCTTGAGTCGATTCGTTTCAGTGTAGGTTCCAATCAAACCAACACTGGTTCCAAGTATAACTTCATGAGCTCTATCGGTTCCAATCATAAAAAAATTTCACCCCACCCACACCCTACCCTCAGCTTTTTTGAAAATTTTATTTTTGGAATCGATAGAGCTCATCAAGTTGTAGTTGGAACCAGTGTTGGTTCGATTGGAACCTATGCTGAAACGAATCGACTCAAGAAAACGTCGAATTCTGCCCGAAGGTATCCTACATATTGACGATGCTTTTTTTCTTGCATTGGTTTTATTTCATTCTGTCATCGACAAAAGTAACCAGAAATAACAAATACAATTTTTTTCATCGACGCATTGCACAATCTAAAACAAACAACGAAATTCTATACGTAGTTAATAGAAACATTTACGTGTATCATCGGTTCTTTCTTATTTCGCAGTCTGTAACAAAGAGAGCGAATATATAGAATTATTCAAATCAATCTCGTAATTAATGAATTTTTTCGATTAAGTGTAAAATGGGCAAACAAAGTTCCAAATTAGTCAAACAATCATCATCGGCACCAGTGGAGAACATAAATAAAGTCTCCAATCCGTTGAAGAACATAGTTGAAGCTTCCAATCAAATCATATCGAAGGCAAATTTACAAACTTGTATAATTGGAAATGTTGTGATCGTTTGGTTAGATCAAAATATCAATGAATCTTCAGATAATTATCGAAACTCAATCCATAAACTTCGAAAAATTGTTAATTCGATTGAAATTTTCCAAGATAAAGATAAATGTATCAAATTTATCCGCGAAATACGCGATGAAAAAATCTTTCTAATTGTATCAGGATCTCTTGGTCAACAGATTACTTCTACAATTCATGAACTTCCTCAACTTCATTCGATCTATATTTTTTGTTATCAGAAATCTTTACATGAACAATGGGCAAAAAAATTTCACAAAATTGCAGGAGTATTCACGGAAATGAATTATATTTGTCTGATAATGACGGAGAACGTTCGATTAACAAATAACGACCTAATACCAATAAGTGCCATACCAAAATCATCAACAGCAGATTTAAATACGCTCGATCCAATGTTTATGTATTCCAAATTAATCAAAGAAATTATTTTGGAAATGAAATATGAGAAAAAGGTACCCGAGGAATTCATTGAGTTTTGTAGCTCAAAATATTCGACGGATAAATCTGTGTTGAAAACGATCGAAGAATTTCAAAACGATTATTGTGTTGAAAAATCCATTCAGTGGTACACCAAAGAATGTTTCATATATCCAATGCTCAATAAAGCACTGAGAACATTGGATAATGAAACTATTTATCAAATGGGCTTCTTTATTCAAAATCTTCTTCGACAAATAAAACAAATGCATTCGAAAGCAAAATATCAATCTTCATTTATTGTTTGGCGTGGACAGGGCATATCATCTCTACATTTCGAAAAATTGAAAAACTGTACTGGTGGCCTGCTCTCATTTAATACTTTTCTATCAACAAGTCGAAGTAGAAGTGTTGCTTGGGACTTTGTTAGCTATGCCCAAAAGAAAAAAGAAGACAGGGAAGACAAAGCACTTCTATTTCAAATTAAAGTGGATCCATCAATCTCGCAAACACCTTTCGCTGACATAGGCGATATTAGTCATCACTGTGGAGAGAAAGAAATTCTTTTCTCGATGCATACTGTATTTCAAATCGATGGAATGAACGAAATTGAAAGTTCCACATGGGAGATCAATTTAACATTAACAACAGATAATGATCCACAACTTAAACGTTTGACCGATTGTGTACGAAAAGAAATCGGAGGTGAAACAAGTCTACATCGACTTGGTAATTTAATGTACAAGATGGGAAAATTCGATAAGGCTAGCGAGATCTATGAAAAACTAGTAGATATGACAGATAAAAATGATCATGAAAAACTGGCTTATCTTCATCATCAACTCGGTTCGATCAATTCTGAAAATCATGATTTGAAAAGTGCTCTCTTTCACTATAAAGAATCTCTTCGTTTATATTTATCATGTTTATCGGCAGATGATTCTCAACTTTCTGCAACTTATTCTAATGTAGGACTGGTTCTTCAGAAACAGGGTCAACTCGATGTAGCACTCGAACATTTTCAACGTGCACTTACTATTGATCTTAAAGCGTCACATCCTGACCAGTGTAAAATAGCTACTCATTATAATAACATTGCTGGAGTACTCAAAGCTCAAGGCAAATATGATGAAGCTCTCAAAAAGTATGAAGATTCATTGAATATTCGTCTTCAACAATATCCACCTGGACATCCATCCCTCGCTATTGCATATAATAATCTCGGTGGAATTCATTGTTCACTGAGAAATTATTCTGATGCTCTTACTTATTACCAAAAAACACTAGAAATTCGACAAAAATCTCTACCATTCAATCATCCATCATTAGCCATTACTCATAGTAATATAGCTATGACTTTGGAAGATCTCAGACGTTTTAAAGAAGCTATTCAACACGCAGAAAAAGCTGTTGCTATTGCAAAACTTACGTACGCTACTGATCATTCTGTAGTGCAAGGATATCGGCGACAACTAGAGAAACTTCGACAAAAAGCAACTTAGAGGGTGAAAGTGTGACTTTGTAATTAACACAAATACAAAGTATTTTCACTTTTTTCAATAAAAGATTATCATATGCTATGATATTTGTATAGAATGATTGATAAAAAAATCGGGTACATATAGACTAGGAATTCAATAGTATGTAATATGAAAATAAAAGAAGTATGAGACGATTTGAAGAGGACAAAATGATAGAGAAAAGATCTTTCATCCATGACTTGACGCTCAAATATGACATCAAATCATGGAATACAAGATAAACCGATCAAAAGTTGATGTACCTTTGACGACGTTGGATCTATAAGTAAGAAGCGGTGTCGCATCTAATGAGACTGCTTTAATAAGAATATAATTTCAAAAAAGATTTATTTCTTATAAAAATCATTTTCTACCTCTATTTATACGATAAAATGTTCTTCCAGATCTATTAGCATTAAACAGAGAGTATTATTAACATGAAATAGATACTCTTCGCTACATGTGAAGCATTTTATTAAGAGACGAAAAGCAAATGAGTTGGATAGGAAATTTGAATGATAATTGATTTTTAATTTGACGGTTTATTTCTTTAATATAAACAGCGATGAAATCATTGTTGTTTCCGAACAAACATCAATATTCCATGATTCGATCACATTTCTTGTCTATGGGTCAGTATAAACATCGACTATAGGCTCAGATCACATCTATCATTTCCCTAGATTGTCAACTCAAATTTCAAAATCTCCATAGAACTACAATTATCTCGATTAGAAATGATTGTTAATTCTCACTGAATTTTCATTTGGGTTGACGGAGTTTCTATAAGAAGAGGTTTCCGAGATCTATTGACGTAGATATGAATAACCATCGCTAAGTTCTCTTAGCATTTTTGTTTGAAAATAACTCCATTCTGGATACATAAAATAAATTCTTTCTGTTCACCAACGTTACCTCGTCTATCTTATTATCTACAACGATGATAAACAGCCAAACTAACAGACAAATTCTTTACTTTCGAAAGCATCCAAATACGTGGCCAGTCTATTTTAATTTAACCACTGCATGACCTGATCGATTTCCCAACTTCGACCATACTGGAAAAAAAACTTGTAAGTATGTTCTCGGTACGTTTATTTATTCAAGTACACAAACAACAATAACAACATGTCTAAAACGCTTTGAAAAGTTTAATTTTCATAAGAAGATGAGATATGATTTGAAAATAATCTCCGACAACACAACCATGATAACGACGAGTCATCGGTTTCAGCTATGGTATAGACTAATTTTTCTGCTGCAATTTGATTATCAATCATCTTTTTAAATCCATCTTTAATGCCATTCAATCCACCAGGTATTTTGGTAACTCGATTAGGTTTTAATAGACCTTTAGGCAAAAAATAAGTTGATAATAATTTATAGAATTTCTCTGCAAATTCTTTATCTTGTTGTCGTTGAGCATAGAATTGTCCGAAGAGATTTCTCTCGATACCGAATATCGTGTACATTAACACTCGATGTTCTCTTATATGTGGCGGTAATTCCGTTCGGATAAAAGGCAGAACTGTTACTAATTGCGAATCTTTCGCAGTTAATGCTGCACAAACTTGTTTAGTAGATTCTAGTTCGGAGAAACAATCGAATGCATAAGCTAAATCTCCATGTGCTGCTTGTTTAATTAACGAAACGACATTAGGATCTCTGTAATCGAAACACACATCAGCACCAAGTCCCTTCAAATATTCATGACGTTGTGGCGATGCTGTTGTAATCACATAGCAACCGATTGATTTGACTAATTGAATGACACACTGTCCAACACTTGTACTTCCTGCCCAAACGAGAAAATCCGCTTGAACTATTTCAGGTGGGAATGGTAATTTCATTTCGTGGAAAACTCCAAGCTCTGCTGTGATCGATACAAGTGGCAGTGTGACAATTTGTTCAGGTAAAATTGTTGATGGATAACGAAAAACCAGCGATGCTTCTTGAACAACATATTCAGANTAAATACGCTCGATCCAATGTTTATGTATTCCAAATTAATCAAAGAAATTATTTTGGAAATGAAATATGAGAAAAAGGTACCCGAGGAATTCATTGAGTTTTGTAGCTCAAAATATTCGACAGATAAATCTGTGTTAAAATCGATCGAAGAATTTAAATCCGATTATTGTGTTGAGAAATCCGTTCAATGGTACACCAAAGAATGTTTCATTTATCCAATGCTGAATAAAGCACTGAGAACATTGGATAATGAAACTATTTATCAAATGGGCTTCTTTATTCAAGGTCTTCTTCAACAAATAAAACAAATTCATTCGAAAGAAAAATATCAATCTTCGTTTATTGTTTGGCGTGGACAGGGTATATCGTCTCTACATTTCGAAAAATTGAAAAGCTGTACTGGTGGTCTGCTCTCATTCAATAGTTTTCTCTCAACAAGTCGAAGTAGACGTATTGCTTGGAAATTTGTTAGCAATGTCCAAAAGAAAAAAGAAGAAAGGGAAGACAAAGCACTTCTATTTCAAATTAAAGTGGATCCATCAATCTCGCAGACACCTTTCGCTGACATAGACGATATTAGCCATCACTATGATGAGAAAGAAATTCTTTTCTCGATGCACACTGTATTTCAAATCGATGGAATGAACGAAATTGAAAGTTCCACATGGGAAATCAATTTAACATTAACAACAGATAATGATCCACAGCTTAAACGTTTGACTGATTGTGTGCGAAAAGAAATCGAAGGTGAAACGAGTCTACATCGACTTGGTAATTTAATGTACAAGATGGGAAAATTCGATAAGGCTAGCGAGATATACGAGAAACTGGTAGATATGACAGCTAATAGTGATCATAAAAAACTGGCTTATCTTCATCATCAACTCGGTTCGATCAATTCTGAAAATCATGATTTGAAAAGTGCTCTCTTTCACTATAAAGAATCTCTTCGTTTATATTTATCATGTTTATCGGCAGACGATTCTCAACTTTCTGCAACTTATTCTAATATAGGACTGGTTCTCCAGAAACAAGGTGAACTCAATGTAGCACTTGAACATTTTAAACGCGCGCTTACTATCGATCTTAAAGCGTCACATCCTGATCAGTGTAAGATAGCTACTCATTACAACAATATTGCTGGAATACTGAAAGCTCAAGGCAAATATGATGAAGCCCTAAAAAAGTATGAAGAATCATTGAATATTCGTCTTCAACAATATCCACCTGGACATCCATCCCTCGCTATTGCGTATAATAATCTCGGTGGAATTCATTGCTCGCTGAGAAATTATTCTGATGCTCTTGCCTACTACCGAAAAACACTAGAAATTCGACAAAAATCTCTACCATTCAATCATCCATCATTAGCCATTACTCATAGTAATATAGCTATGACTTTGGAAGATCTCAGTCGTTTTAAAGAAGCTATTGAACACGCAGAAAAAGCTGTTGATATTGCAAAGCTTACGTACGCTACTGACCATTCTGTAGTGCAAGGATATCGACAACAACTAGAGAAACTTCGACAAAAAGTAACTTAGAGGGTGAAGGTGTGAGTGTGCAATTCACAGAAATACAAAGTATTTTCACTCTTTTCAATAAAAGATTATCATATGTTATGATACTTGGATAGAATGACTGATAAGAAATTGGGTACGAGATAAGAAGTTAGTAACTGGAGAACGCAGAACATAGACTAGAAATTCAATAGTATGTAATATGAAGATAAAAGAAGCGATGATTTGAAAAGATTAACGAATTAGAACAAGTATAGGATGTGAGTAAGGTGGAGGATTCTTAAAAGTGAGAGCGTAGCTTAAGGTACGAGACGATTTGAAGAGGACAAAATGATAGACAAAAGAACTTTCATCCATCACTTGACGCTCAAAATGACATCAAATTATGGGATACATTAAGATAAACCGATCAAAATTTGATGTACCTTTGACGACGTTGGGTCTATAAGTAAGAAGCGGTGTCGTATCTAATGAGACCACTTTAATAAGAGCATAATTTCCAAAAAGATTTATTTCTTATAAAACTCATTTTTTACTTCTATTTATGCGATAAAATGTTTTTCAAGATATGTTAGCATTAAGCAGATAGTATTATTAACATGAAATAGATACTTTTCGCTACATGTCAGACATGTTATTAAGAGACAAAAAGCAAGCGAGTTGGATAGTAAATTTGAATGATAATTGATTTATAATTTGACGGTTTGTTTCTTTAATATAAACGGCGGTGAAATTGTTGTTGTTTCCGAACAAACATCGACTAGGCGCAGAAGCTTCATTTGAGTTGACGGAGTTTCTACAAGAGAAGGTTTCCGAGATCTATTGATGTAGATATGAGTAACCATAGCTAAGTTCTCTTAGCATTGTTTTGAAAAGAACTCCACCTGGATACATGAAATTAATTCTTTCTGTTCAACAACATTACTCCGTCTATTTGATTATCTGCAACGACAATAAACAGTCAAACTAAAAGACAAATACGTAGCCAGTCTATTTTGATTTAACCATTGCACGACCTGATCGATTTTCCAACTTCAACCACCGAAAAATAACTCGTAAGGGTGTTCTTGGTACGTTTATTTATTCAATTACACAAACAACAATAACGACATGTGTAAAACGCTTATAAAAGTTTAATTTTCATGAGAGGATGAGATATGATTTGAAAATAATCTCCGACAGCACAACCATGATAACGATGAGTCATCCGTTTCAGCTATGGTATAGACTAATTTTTCTGCTGCGATTTGATTATCAATCATCTTTTTAAATCCGTCTTTAATGCCATTCAATCCACCAGGTATTTTTGTAACTCGATTAGGTTTTAATAGACCTTTAGGCAAGAAATAAGTTGATACTAATTTATAGAATTTCTCTGCAAATTCTTTATCTTGTTGTCGTTGAGCATAGAATTGTCCGAAGAGATTTCTCTCGATACCGAATATCGTGTACATTAATACTCGATGTTCTCTTATATGTGACGGTAATTCCGTTCGGATAAAAGGCAAAACTGTCACTAATTGCGAATCTTTTGCAGTTAATGCTGCACAAACTTGTTTAGTTGATTCCAGTTCGGAGAAACAATCGAATGCATAAGCTAAATCGCCATGTGCTGCTTGTTTAATTAACGAAACCACATTTGGATCTCTGTAATCGAAACACACATCAGCACCGAGTCCCTTCAAATATTCATGACGTTGCGGCGATGCTGTTGTGATTACATAACAACCGATTGATTTGGCTAATTGGATGACACACTGTCCAACACTCGTACTTCCTGCCCAGACGAGAAAATCCACTTGAACTGTTTCAGGTGGAAATGGTAATTTCATTTCGTGGAAAACTCCAAGTGCTGCTGTGATCGATACGAGTGGCAGTGTGACAACTTGTTCAGGTAAAATTGTCGATGGAAAACGGAAAACCAGCGATGCTTCTTGAACAACATATTCAGAAAATGCTCCACGAATGTTCATTTCTGGATCGAGACCGCCATGAACACAACCGGCAACACGTTCACCTTTTTTGTAATCACCTATTAAATAGAATCAAACTCTCGGTCATATTTTACGTAAAAGAAGTCGCTTTTCACTCAGCGCAGATGCAGGAAGGAATAGATTGTCATTACGATTAATTATTCAAAGAATTTGTCAGAAATAATTACGAAAAGAATTGTTCAGACTGATACTAAACATGTTGATTAGTTATTCGACTGGCTCAAGAAAAAAAATGAAAGAAAGTCATTTGCATATTTGATGATACTATGAATAATCAGCAATTCCCTGATGAATATCATCTATTGAATCGAACAACATAACTTACCCACAGCCTCTTTACCAATTTTCACAACTTTTCCTACAAAATCACATCCAACGATGGAACCGGGTTTAGCCAAACCAAATTGAACATGTTTCCAATCAGTTGGATTTTGTGCTGCATGAATTACTTTGATTAGAAGATCTTTCGGACCATACGGGGGCAACTGAACATATTCGATACAATCTCGCAAAAAAAACAAGTTTTTTCGACTTACAGGGAGCGTCTCGAGTACAAGCTTTTTATTTTCACGTACAACTAATCCGATCGGCATGATTCTCGTTAACAAGAAAATGAGAAAGAGGAGCATCTCTCGTGGATTTGTTTTATAAGCCTTATTTCCTCTTCTTCTTCGCACATTATTTTTCTCTTTTACGACACTTTCCATACACAGGAACAACGGTAGAGAAAAGACTCTGGAATAGAACAAAGTGACGTTTCTTTACAAGATGATTCGTCATAAATATCGGATAATAATCATCTGAAGTAAATAACGTCTTTCTGAAAGTTTCTCTCGTCACACAAACTCGTCACGATGAATATGTCAAATTTGTTTCAAAAAGAGATTTAAATAAACATATTGTAACAAAGCTGGTGGACTCAAGTAGACATCTTCTTCTTAATAATTAATTTCTTCACCTTGATTTTCAAATCTTTTCAATAAAGAATAAGAACAATGAAAATTTCCTTTTTTTCTTTCAAGTGTTTAAAGATTAAAGTAGAGAGAGTTTTTCTGATACTTGTCCTAATGGATTTTCTTTCATATCCAGAATAGAATTACGTCAAGAGATAATATTCTACAGAAAGTCTTGTTCCATATAAAAGAAGTCATTGACATATTTCTGTATCAAACTGAAAAAAATGAATCCGAACGCATCTACAACAACAATTAATCCATCTGTCAGTCGCTTAGTCTTCGCTCGTATTGGATTTCAACAAGTCGGTCAACCGATCTTGTTCACGCTTGGAACGATCGGTTGTTTATTAAACATTTGCATCTTTCTTCGTCAATCCATGCGAAGCAATTCTTGTGCAATGTATTTTCATACAAGTTCATGGGCAAATCTATTTTGCTTAACATGGGGCTTATTTATCGGAATGTTGGGATTTTTTACAAATTATTATCCAATAGGTTACAATTCGATTCTTTGTAAAACCCGATATTACCTTTTAACAGCGTGTCAATTGATTAGTCGAGGTTGTGTTGTCATGGCATGTCTCGATCGATTTCTTTTATGTTC